AGGGTAAACAATGACCTTCCATGGAAAGTAGCTCGAACCTTGGTTAGGACCACTGACATCTCAGGAGTACGTGTGCTGAACCTTTGCGACCGGGAACAGATTATAGAAAAAGGCACACTGATTGGTACTTGTGAGGAAGTGGATTGGTTACGTCGGTGCCAATATATATCGAGTGGGACCCCCAGCAAGGATGCAGAAACGAGAGTGACCACACTTTTGGAAGACTGTCGCAGTGTTCTCTCCCCGAACGAATTGGTCAAGGCGAAGAAGTTGTTATTCAAGTACGCCGGTGTATTCTCATCAAACGATGCTGACATAGGAAAGACTGGCTTAGTTCAACACAAAATAAACACAGGAGAAGAATTGCCTATCCGTCAGCGGCCAAGACGATTGCCGGTAGCACGTGAAAAGGAAGTGGAAACCATGATTGAGGGAATGGTGAAGGATGGTGTTATTGAACCTTCATCTAGTCCATGGTGTTCTACAGTGGTGCTGGTGAAGAAGAAGGATGGCAGCATGCGGTTTTGTGTTGACTACCGCCGTCTAAACGACGTTACGAAGAAGGACGGCTATCCCTTGCCAAGAATTGATGACACGCTGGACATGCTTACAGGAGTAAAGTGGTTTAGCACGCTGGATCTAAAAAGTGGCTACTGGCAAGTTGAAATTGACCCTAAGGACAAGGAGAAAACTGCGTTCTCGACAGGAAAGGGTCTGTGGCAATTTAAATTAATGCCGTTATGGTTGTGCAATGTTCCAGCAACGTTTGAAAGGCTGATGGAACTTGTACTTACCGGGCTAATTGGCGATGCCTGTCTGGTCTACTTGGATGACATCATCATCATAGGCCGTACGTTTGAGGAACACCTTCAAAACCTGGAACGCGTGCTCATGAAGATTCAGAGTGCCAACCTCAAGTTGAGCCCGAAGAAATGTTCACTATTCCAACGGCAAGTTAACTTTTTGGGGTTTGTAGTATCGGAAGAAGGTATCCGCACAGATCCAGAGAAAATCGCCGCTGTCAAGGATTGGCCTGTTGCAAAAGACAAGACGCAGGTTAGAGCATTTTTGGGTTTGTGCTCCTATTACCGGCGATTTGTGAAGAACTTTGCAGATATAGCCAAACCTCTGCACAAGCTAACCGAGGAGAAGCGACATTTCTGCTGGGATGAAAGTTGCAATATCGCATTCCAGGAGCTCAAGGACCGTCTGTGCAAAACACCTATTTTGGGATACCCTGATGCAAGCAAAGAATTTATAGTTGACATAGACGCAAGTGATATAGGACTTGGCGGTGTGTTGTCTCAACGGAATGGTGACCAAGAGGTCGTGATAGCGTACTTCAGCAAGTCGTTGTCAAAACCGGAAAGGAACTACTGTGTCACAAGACGCGAATTGCTAGCTGTGGTAAAGTCGTTGCAGCATTTTAGCAAATATCTTCTGGGGCGAAAATTTCACTTACGAACTGACCATTCTGCACTAAAATGGCTATTGCAGTTTAAAAATCCAGAAGGACAAGTTGCGAGGTGGATTGAACTACTGCAGGAATACGACTTCGAGATCGAACATCGCAACGGGAAATCTCATGGCAACGCAGATGCATTGTCAAGAAGACCTTGTCCTGAAGATTGCAAACATTGTACTAGGCAAGAGAGTAAGGAAGTGGTATCCGTGAGGATGCTCAGGGCAGACCACCTCAGCAACGAGTGGAAGGACAGCTTACAACGTGCACAGCAGGAAGATCCGGACATCAAGCCGATCCTGGAATGGATGAAGGTCAGTGCTCCCAAGCCCAAGTGGAGCGACGTCTCAGCGATGAGTTCGACCACTAAAAGCTATTGGGCCCAGTGGGACAGCTTGCTGCTTCAGGATGGAGTTCTGTGCCGTAAATGGGAAAATGTTCGGGGAGACAGCTGTCATTTACAAATGGTTGTCCCTAAAGCTAAAGTACCGGATGTTCTACAGCTGTACCATAATGATTATTCAGGAGGCCATCTGGGAGTTAAACGAACTCTACTGAAGATCCGAGAACGGTTTTACTGGGTCCACTGTCGAAACGATGTCGAGGACTGGTGTCGCAAATGTACAAGTTGTGCGGCTGTAAAGGGACCTCAGACTCGTAGTAGAGGTGCATTGAAGTAGTACAATGTTGATGCACCATGGGAGAGAATAGCCATTGACGTGGCGGGGCCGTTTCCGGAGAGTGAAAGCGGTAACAGGTATTTCATGGTTGTGATGGATTACTTCACTAAGTGGCCAGAAGTCTTCGCCATTCCAAATCAAGAAGCTTCAACAGTTGCTGATAAGCTAGTTCATGAAGTCTTCTGTCGTTTTGGTGTACCTTTAGAGATTCACAGCGATCAAGGAAGGAATTTTGAGTCTCAAATATTCCAGGAAACTTGCCGAGTTATGGGTACTCATAAAACAAGAACGACTTCTTATCACCCGCAATCTGATGGAATGGTAGAACGATTTAATCAGACATTGGAGAGGTACCTAGCAAAAGTTGTAGACAATCGGCAACGAGATTGGGACAAGCACATACAACCGTTTTTGTTGTCATATCGAAGCGCTGTTCACGAAAGTACAGCAGTGACACCAGCTTTCGCAAACTTTGGAAGAGAATTACGGCTGCCTGCAGACCTGATCACCGGGATACCACCTGATGCTCCACGCAGTATAACCGATTATGCAAATGACTTGCGGAACAAAATGAATGACGTTTATGATCACGTCAGACAATCGGGCCAGCAAATGTCTGAAAAGATGAAAACCCGGTATGACCGCAAAATGAACAACAAAGGGTTCGACGAAGGTTCACTTGTGTGGTTGCACAATCCAGTCCGTAGCAAAGGGAAATCTCCTAAGCTTCAAGCTAAATGGGACGGCCCGTACCGGATTGTGACCAGGATCAACGATGTAACCTACCGGATACAGAAAGGCGCAAGAGGGACTCCTAAGATCGTCCATGTGGATCGCCTAGCGCGTTATTATGGGACCGATAATGCTCGGGACGAGCATGTCTTAGAGGGGGCAGTGTTACGCGCTCCAACGCCTCAAATCGGCGCACTAGCGCCATCTAGTCTCGAACCGAAGAACTAAACTTCTTGAAGTTTAAAACTCGAACTCTCGGTACCTTGCGTGTGTTTACTTGAACATTCTGGATATTTTGCTAATTTATATAAGTAGGCGCTGCAAGATGCGATCGAAGTAGACTTGAACTCGGCGACACAAGCGAAGCTTCGGAGCGGAATTAAGTGAATTAGTGTATTTAATCATTAGTGTTTTAAGTTTTAATTTGTGTAAAGTAAATTAAAGTGTTAATTTAGGTAATTTTATCGGCAATTTTTATTGTCACGAACCCTAAGCTCGTAACAATACGTTGGTGATATTTTTTATAACAACAATAAAAACTTTGTTACTAAAATCGATAGGGGTCATGTGGGTGTGTTGTGAGGGGGTGCCATCCGTATGATAGTTGCATTGATGCTTACTGCTACTTACGGTATTGCGTCTTGTGATGTATCTGCGGGTGTGCTGCGCCTGATTCGACGCACTCTTGTGGTTCTGGTCGATGGAGGTATGCAGGTGGTGATGTCTGCTGGGATGTATGGGGGACCTTGGGATGGTGTAAGCCCGACGATAGTCGTATTGATGCTTGTTGCGTTCTGCAGCGTTGCGTCTTTGCGATGGTTGTTTGGTGGGACGCTATTCTCAATGGCGCTCTCTGCGTCTTGGTTTGACTCACGCCTGAGTAGCTTTGCCCAAGTCGGGTCCCTACATTACGGGGCTGCAGACTGTCTGCCCTCCACGATGTTTTATATAACAACATAATATTATATCTCTGTAAATTTCCCACCTTTGAATGATTGAAGGCAACTTGTTGGTGGGTGAGACAAACATGATCGATAATGCATTTACTCAACGTCAGTGATACAAACCCTTTCTGATGGCGAATTATTACTCTTATCTTATAACTGCCTTTTGGCTATATCTGCCGTTGTATTGGTTGGTGGAGCATATGTGTCGATCTCATGCGGGTGGTAGCTGGCGGGAGAATCTGAGGAGACTCTCAAGGCTGCGGCCGAAAGCCGCACAACGTGGGACCCCATTCCCTTGAGGTGAGCGGTAGACTCATGACACGCTCTGCGGCTAGTAGCCGTGCTGATCATGCAATTGGTGGTGATGCCATACACTTACATCACGTCTGCAGGAGCGGCGGTCTTGCAGGTGGTGGCGCTCACGGAGCGTTTACGGCCAGTGTGCCTATTTGCCTAAACCGTGTGACGTACATTCACTGTGGCTGGATTCGTTCGTATTCTGTATGGCGTTTACACGCATTGAAATGCGCGACTTCGGTCGATGTTTGTGCTTACGCACTAACAAGGGCCAAGCCCTCTTTTATTGGTTCGCCAGTTATTTTGCTGTGGACTACGGTCCAGTTCCCGAATTAGCGTTCCCTTCGGGGGGAGTGCATGAAAATGGTTGGCGCACACCGCGCACGGCGTGTTTGGAGCCGTGTGGGAGGCACACGGCTCCATACAACAGTTTTTTTTTAATAAATGTGGGAGAGTGAAGCCCTTGTGTCGAGTATTTTGAAGAGATAAATAATAATAAATTAATAATGTGAACCTGATACAAGTGGAATAGGGACGTTTTATGTTCTTAACCTTTCTCGAGCCCTGTCTTCGTGAACGGGGTTCACTTAGCTTATAAGGCACTACCAACAGCTTATTTATTTATTATTTATTTGATTAGTATATAATATATTTATTATTATGAGAGGGGGGGAGCGTTACAATATGTTAATTAGATTTAAGAGTTCAAGAGCAAATTGTTACTAAAAATAGATGTTATCAATTTACAAATAGTAGTACCACTGCCCATTATCTTATGTTTTTGTAGATATTTTCCGCTCAATTAATAAAATTAAACTAAATGATACAAGTATTTGTATTAATTTGAATTGCATACTAGAGAATATTTTTATGCAAATATGTTCAGAAATTGCCACTCTGCATAACATCCCTGCATCTCAAATTGAGATTAAGACTGTATTCTGAAGTAGATAAAGGTTATATTCATTCTAAAACGTAGATAATTTGTAACAAGCATGAGCTCCGAGAGGTCTGGTATATATATATGTCACAGGATAATTAGATAAACCGAATTTTCGGGAAAAATCTAGGGATATCGCGAAAACACGGATATTTAGACAATGGCTATGACATATCTCAATCTTACTGAAAAAATATTAGGCCCTTTTGCAATTTTGAATAAAATTAACTCTGACTGGCTTGATCTTGGTTTATAGCCGTATAGTTAATGAGAAATGTTCTTTTTTTGTAAAATGATAACCTCGCTTTTTACACAGGATTATTGATCCAAAGTAACTTCTGTAGCAGCATCGGTGCTACGGGAAGCGTATCCCCTTCGCTCTTGCGTAGCAAATCGCAGTCACCCATGCTGACTTTCGCAGCTACGGCTTATTGGTCGCCGTCGGCGACCGGCTTCAGACACTACGGCTTGCACGAGTATCCGCAAAAATTTGAAAGAAGGAATAGTCAGATTGCATAGAAGCAAAAGTTGAAACAAAGTGACGATTTATATCATCCAGATTAAGAGAACTGTTATCAGATGACTTTAGCTTAGTGATACCGAGAGATTTTAAGAATTTCCACATATCAGTTGTCGAATTGTTGGTTAAGTTATGATGAAAGGCGTTTAGCATATCATACCATCTGATTGCACCTGTTTCTTAGCAATTCAAAGTTACACCAGTTCTCTTCTGTACGTACTCTTTTGTATTTCGTAAATACCCGAGCCCGTTTGCGCATTGCCACTCGTACACCCTTAGTCATCCAATTGGCAGTAGGGCGCTTTAGTCTTACTTGATGAACTGGCGCATGGACGTTATAAAGATTCAGAATAACGTTGTTCAATAAGTAAATTTTGTCATCTATAGAAGAGAGCTATGGAGCAAAATCAATAAGAGCAGCATCTCTCCTGAGTTGGTCAATATCTAAGCTGGAAAAATTGCGTAAATGCAAAAAGAAGGAATATGTTTCGGAGGTTTAATTCTATAAGATAAATAAATTACATCATGGTGTGAAAAACAGGGGACTGAAAGCTGTCCGTGCTTGCCCACATGGTCAGGAGAAGATGTAATTATGTGATCAATCCTTGAATCATCTGTGTCAATGTTATGATGAGTAACCGCTAAAGGCTGAAATTGCTGCAATTGACTGACTCCACGATTGATCAAAACTTATGAGCATGAGAAATATTTCTTAATAAATCAGTATTGAAGCCCCCGTTATGTAGTGCATGTATCCAGAGTGAGTCACCATGAGTCAAAATCGAAGAACTTGTTAAATAGAAAATTAAAATTAAATAAAATGTTAAACAATCAAGTAATTATGATGTGTAACATTGTTTGTTAATGAAACCGATGGAATAGTAAAGTACAACAAAAATAACTTAGAAACTAATTAATAAGCCTAGAAGTTTTAATTATGCTAACAATATAAATGTGAAAAAAAATTGTAGAATAAATGATTTACTTTTTGGAAATAACACGCCTTGTTTGATTGCGCCCAGTCACCACATCCTGTGGACGGTTACATTTTGGGGTGCTCTGTGGCGTGGCAGGCAGGCGTAATTTCAGTGTCTTTATTATTAGGAGTAAACGAATCACTTATCACAGCAGATCCAGTTGAGGACCACTTGAAAACCAAGCACTTTAAGTCTTCTTCAGTAATTATTTTAGCACGGCTTCTGTCGGGGAGCTTAGTATAAATAGTACCGTTATGTGACCATACATTTTTGATGCCGATATGTTTCCTTGACTTTTTGTATATCTCTTGTCTGATCTTTGTGAGAAACTCAGTTACGGTTTTCTCAGAAGGGCTAGAACCCAGAGCCGTAAAGTCAGTTAATAATAAAAAATGTATCACTTTCCATACATTACGTATTTAAGGTTAAGGTTATAATAGTTTTTATTTATTTTTTCAATAACGGTGCATTACCTTTTAATGTGAGTGTATTATTATAATCGGGGACCAATCCTCTACCAAATAAAACACGTTACTCCCCCAAATTCCTGCCAAACGATTCTAAATTATCAACCACTTCATTTACTAAATCAACTTCAGGGCTCTCAGCAATACCATTAAACAATAACACCTTCCGCCGTTACCTCATGTCTATTTCGTCGATAGAATTGGTAACAAGCTTAGCGTATTACTCACTATTTCCTTAAAAACCTGGAATTCGTGACTGAGTTATAACAGCCTTGGAGTGAATGGTACCATAGCAGCTTGTAATTGTTCCTCGATCTCCACCATCATTTGCGATAAGCTAACTTCCAGTTCTTTCTAAATATTGTTGACATGGTTGACATTCGCCATAGTGAGCTTTGCTGTGTTAAATCCAATAGCGAAACTACACTGATTTCACTTATAGATTTGCAGATGATGCAAGTAATTTCTTGAGAAAAATACTTCGTAAATGCACAACTATTGAATAAATCTTGCTTATAATTATTAATAAACTGATTAAAGTAGAAAATAATATTAAATATAACGTATATTAATTTTAATTTTGTAAAATAAATCGGAGCTCGTAACGACAGACATTACTTTTTTTACACTTACCTCCAAAAAATAATATTTATTTTACATCTTTTCAAAATATTCTCCATTATGCTCTATACAAACTTCCATTCGCCTAAACTAACTCTGAAAACACTTTTGCCAGTCTTGATCACAAACATTTCGGTAGTCCATACATTTTCTGCCGTTACTGCTGTTTGCGGGACGCCGATTCTTTGGTCAGCTTTAAGGTTAATTTTAACCCTTTTGAATTCAGCGAACCACCTAAAAATTGTTGCGCGTGATGGAGCTGAGTCCTCTTATGCTTATTGTAACCGTTGTGAACTTAATTGTTTGGTCAAACCAAATTTAAAATCATAATAGATCATAGCGCGCAAATATTCACGGTTAAGATCCATCGTTTTATATGAAAAATGCGGGAAGCGTTGCAGGAAAATTAATAGAACTTTGTTTTTTTTTTTAATATTGAGCAATTGGCTTATAGAGTTCTATTTTTAAATAAATTTGCCTTTTAGAAACATATAACACGGTTGCGTTCCATTTTTAAATTTCGAGCATCTCAAAACTTATTGAGTGACCTACGTATCTATTGCGCTCCTTCTTTGAAGTCCAATCCTTGACTATATAGTAGCGGTGTAGGAACATCTTTTACCGCGTAGTATCTTCCTGATAACAACCCAGAATAATAAAAACGGCAATTGCCAACACAAATGCCAAGCGTTGGCAGTTATAGCATAAATACCCTGAGGCTAACTATCGGGAAGGCATATGTTAGGCGGTGTCGTGTTTAAATTAAATTATTATTTTAATTCCTGAAGTTTCGGGTGCTTTACAACACACATGGTCACGGAGGGACTGAGGTGTCGCTTTCATAGGCCTTATTAGATTGGTGTCAGATACGTGCCCATGCACTGCAGTAGCCACTTACCATCAAATGGACTGCAAGTTTGTTGGTCACTTCAGTTTTAAAAAAAAATATTATCAGCATGTCGCGCTATGTACTTGATATGATATATTAACATTTTAGCCGCCAAAATGGTGTAATGTATCTTCGGATGATACGCTTGGCGGCTAAAACAGCAATAAAATTAAACTTCATGTCAAAGTAGGCGCAATATTTACTCGATATCGCGTTATTAATGCGAATGACGTAATATTTAGGGTACAGTAAATAATAAAGTGTAATATCATTTGGGGCCTTTTCTGATGAATATAACGCTTATGTAAGATGTAGTATATGACAATAGGTAGTCGAATAATGGATTTGAATCCACGACTTTTTGAGTTCGAAATCATTGCGCTCTATTAGGCTACTATCGCTTCGAGTATAGACCTCCATCATAATGAATTCACTTTATCGTATTAAAATTTTTAGTAAATACATTTAGTAGTACTGTGTGTTTTGTAATAATAATAATAATAATAAGCTTTTTTATTTGTCTCAGTTTACACATGTTATTAAAAATGTACAAATAAATATCATCACAAACTTAGAAACATACTTAAGAAACGTAAAAGTAATGAGATAAACTGGCCTGTGACTCAGCTATGTGGTGATTTTAGGTCACCGCTGGTATTTTGCCACAGCCGACTATTTAAAAACACAGTATCTTAATCTAATTTTGGCATTGACGTAACACAACTAAAGAATAGACTAACATATTTATACATATGTGCTAGGTAAATTTAGGTAAAGGAGACAATCGCCTCTGGGCCTAACAGAAACTTCAACGATCTCAGTGGTATTAGCCCAAAGATTTTTCGAAAATCTAAGCTGAATCATGAACTATTGTAAGAATTAAGAACATCACTGTTAAAGAGCATTACTATTGTAAGAATTAAGTCTGCAGTTATATATAATACTTCATACCTGCCTCCAACTTTTGTTGTTCAAGTAACCGTATTTTGCATTTCTTTATAAATATATTTGTATTTACGATCTCCCGCAAAGGAGGAGGTATAGTATTCCAAATTTTGGAGGCAGCATATTTGAATATAGTATAAATGAGTATAACTGAATGGCTGAACTTAGTATAACTGAAGCTTGAGATAACAACTCACAGTAATATATATTAGCAGCGGTTGTCAACCCGCCTGCCAGTGCGGCTGAGTAAAGTTACAGCCTTTTGTGACACATTCCATAGCTGCACTTGTTTCTGAGATGGATATTGAGCAATTATATAGAAAGCCTTTGTACTAAAATAGATCGTTTCGTTTTTGCATTGCGTAGACTAAGAAATATTGTATCGGAAAGAGCTGCACTGATAGCATATCATGGATATATCTCATCCATACTACGATATGGTGTTATACTCTGGGGGTATTCGGTGGATTCGGATAAAGCATTTAAAGCACAAAAACGCTGCATAAGAGCTCTTTGTGGTGTTGGTCCTTTAGTGAGTTGCAAACCTTTGTTCAAAACTAAAAAGATCCTGCCTTTGCCTTC